TTGAACCTTAACTCTGAATTCCCTGGGTTAACAATGCTTGTTTTGGGGATAATTACAATGTCGCTGTAATATTTTCACCTTTACATTAACATTTAATAGGTACTCAAATGTATCTTTAATTTAGTCAGTTTTTATTCTGCAAATCTTCTCTATGTGTTCAGCAGTTCCACACATATTGCATAAATACATTCTACTCTTAAGACCTTTTAAACAGAGCATGAATTCAGCTATCAATTTTCTAATGTTATTTACCAGTATAGCCAAATCCTTTAGAAAAGCAGCCTGAAAATCAAAACCAGAATAAGTATAGAAGATTAAGATTCTGACACATCTCATCTGAGGAAGTGGGTTTTACTCCTGACAGCTCACGATACTATATATATTTTTTTTAGTCTGTGAGAGTGTGTCTAGACTACATGGCTCCGTTGACGGAGCCATGTAGATGAGTTTACTAGACATAGCAAAATGAAGTGGCGATTTAAATAATCGCCACTTCATTTACATAAAAATGGCCGCCGCACTGTGCTGATCAGCTGATTGTCGGCACAGCACGGTAGTCTAGACGAGGATCAGCCGACCTCAGCACACTTTGTTGTCAGATCCTGTAAGCCTCGTTTCAGACTACCGTGCTGTGCCGACAATCAGCTGATCAGCACAGTGCGGCGGCCATTTTTATGTAAATGAAGTGGCGATTATTTAAATCGCCACTTCATTTTGCTATGTCTAGTAAACTCATCTACATGGCTCCGTCAACGGAGCTATGTAGTCTAGACACACCCTAAGATGCTACAGGACTATTATTATTATTTTTTTTAGAATAGGTATGTTTGCTACATTGTTCATTCATTATAATAATTTAATAAGAATCCAATTAAAATTGGACATAAGAACCCAATTAAAATAATCAATTTGGTACAATTACCAAAGTATATGTAAACAGATACAGGCTGAACCCTCCAAATCCAGGACTCTCTGGTCCAGCAACATCCATGGTCTGGAAGGAAGGACCATGGATGTTGCTGGAAAAGAGAGCCCTGGAGGCAAAGAGCATGAGTCAGCTGGGAGTCCTGTGGGTGCTGTGGAGTCCCAGCTGGGCTGACAGGGGCTGGTCCTGCGGTGGGTGGGGAATCCAGCCCTGGGGAGCCCTAGGCCAGGGAGCCCCTGCGGCAACTGAAAGGAATCCCCAGTCCCAGTCAGGAACCCAGGTGGCAGCTGAGCCAGTGGTGGGTGTGAGGAATCCTCAGTCAGGGACCCAGGTGGAAGTGGGGCCAGCAGCAGCCGGGGGCGGGGGAGGGAGGTCCCCAGTGGAAACAGAGCCAGTGGCAGCCAGAGGGAATCCCCAGTCACAGTCCGGAACTCCAGTGGCTGCGGGAAGCCCCAGCCCAGCCGGGAACCCTGGCAGAGAAGGGCCGGCGGTGGCTGGGGGGAATCCCAGCCTGAGGAGGCTGACCCTGGAAGCCCCAGCATGGGGCCAGCAGGGGGGGAGGAAGCCTAGGCTTTAGAGATGGCTACAGCCCAGAGAGGAGCCTTGACCTCCCCTAATTCAGCAAACTCCATGGTCTGGGACCACTCAGGTCAGGCGGGTGCTGGATCAGGGAGGTCCAACCGGTAGTTGAAACAACAGGAGCCGTCATCCAAAACATAGACCACACATACAAGGCTAGAATAGGAACTATGCTGTTTGAGAGTTTCCCCTATGGTCTAAATGCAAATCAGGGGCTGGACATGGCTTGATGGAGTTGTGTGTATACAAGAAAGAGAAAACAACAAACAAAATTGCATAGAAGTACACAACTAAGGCACCAAGGAAGCCCCCATGGCAACTGAAGAAATGGTTTTGAGAGAGAGAGAGAGAGAGAGTGCTTTTTGGGCAGAATGCTTGCTAGAAAGAGGCTTAGAATTCTGAGCAAAGAAAGTCTCTGCTATTTCATAGAATCATAGAATAATAGGACTGGAAGGGCCCTCAAGAGGTCATCGAGTCCAGCCCCCCGCCCTCAAGGCAGGACCACGCTCCGTCTACACCATACCTGACAGATGTCTATCTAACTTGATCTTAAATATCTCCAGAGAGGGAGATTCCACCACCTCCCTCGGCAATTTATTCCAATATTTGACCACCCTGACAGTTAGGAATTTTTTCCTAATGTCCAATCTAAACCTCCCCTGCTGCACTTTAAGCCCATTACTCCTTGTCCTGTCCTCAGAAACCAAGAGGAACAAATTTTCTCCTTCCTCCTTGTGACTCCCTTTTAGATATTTGAAAACCGCTATCATGTCCCCCCTTAATCTTCTTTTTTCCAAACTAAACAAGCCCAGTTCATGAAGCCTGGCTTCATAGGTCATGTTCTCTAGACCTTTAATCATTCTTGTCGCTCTTCTCTGTACCCTTTCCAATTTCTCCACATCTTTCTTGAAATGTGGCGCCCAGAACTGGACACAGTACTCCAGCTGAGGCCTAACTAGTGCAGAGTAGAGCGGCAGAATGACTTCACGAGTTTTGCTTACAACACACCTGTTAATACAACCTAAAATCATATTTGCTTTTTTTGCAACAGCATCACACTGTTGAGTCATATTCAACTTGTGGTCCACTATGACCCCTAGATCCCTTTCCGCCATGCTCCTTCCTAGACAGTCGCTTCTCATCTTGTATGTATGGAACTGATTGTTCCTTCCTAAGTGGAACACTTTGCATTTCTCTTTATTAAACCTCATCCTGTTTACCTCTGACCATTTCTCTAACTTGCTAAGGTCATTTTGAATTATGTCCCTATCCTCCAAAGAAGTTGCAACCCCACCCAGTTTGGTATCATCTGCAAACTTAATAAGCGTACTCTCTATCCCAATATCTACATCATTGATGAAGATATTGAACAGTACGGGTCCCAAAACAGACCCTTGAGGAACTCCACTTGCTATCCCTTTCCAGCAGGATTTAGAACCGTTAACAACAACTCTCTGACTACGGTTATCCAGCCAATTATGCACCCACCTTATCGTGGCCCTATCTAAGTTATATTTGCCTAGTTTATCAATAAGAATATCATGCGAGACCGTATCAAATGCCTTACTAAAGTCTAGGTATATGACATCCACCGCTTCTCCCTTATCCACAAGGCTCGTTATCTTATCAAAGAAAGCTATCAGATTAGTTTGGCATGACTTGTTCTTCATAAACCCATGCTGGCTATTCCCTATCACTTTATTACCTTCCAAGTGTTTGCATATGATTTCCTTAATTACCTGCTCCATTATCTTCCCTGGGACAGACGTTAAACTGACCGGTCTGTAGTTTCCTGGGTTGTTCTTATTCCCCTTTTTATAGATGGGTACAATATTTGCCCTTTTCCAGTCTTCTGGAATCTCCCCTGTCTGCCATGATTTTTCAAAGATCATAGCTAAAGGCTCAGATACCTCCTCTATCAGCTCCTTGAGTATCCTGGGATGCATTTCATCAGGACCTGGTGACTTGCTGACATCTAACTTTCCTAAGTGATTTTTAACTTGTTCTTTGTGTATCCTATCTTCTAAACTTACCCTCTCTCTGCTTGTATTCACTACGTTAGGCACTCTTCCAGACTTATCGGTGAAGACTGATTCTAATGTTTTGGCATACAGGATTTTGTGCACATTCCTTGTAAATAAAGAGGATTGCATTGAAGAAATAATAATAATTAATCATTTTCTCCCTCTCATGGAAACAACCTGAAAGACTTCAAGTATTGACTAACTGACCAACTCAAAAGAGGTGACAATAATGAAAGAGTAATTAATACAATAAAATAAAATAAATAAATAATACTGAAATAGAATAAAGATGAACAACTGGATTAGTTGCAGCTGTTGGGGGAAGTTGTATGAACTTATTCTATGAGTGAGGATTTAGATGTACTGCAAGCTAAGTTCTCTGAGAGGGGAAGAGAGAGGCTGGGAGAGGGGAGGGCAAAAGAGTGATGATATAAGGCACAAAGTGGGGTGTATACAGGGGATCCAGGAAGCATAGAATTAGTGAAGGAAAGGCAGAATTTTCATCTACATTACAAGGTGTAAGGTAACATTCTGGAGCTAAATGACTCAGGAGCCTAGGTCTCATTGAAAATCACTAGCACTTAGGTTCCTACATTATTTATGGGGCTTTTCCAAAAAAAAAAAAAAAAAAAATCCTAAATGCTCAACATGTCCTAGGTATAAAAAAAGGCATGGTTAAAAGGTTTCCATGTGGACATAAGTGTAATTGATACTTGCGCCTATGGAGGTGTTAAGCGCTGCAAGAGTGTTTTCTTCCTGCAGGGTTGTATATTGCAACCCAATTTAAACTTTTGGAGTGCATGATGGGGATGGCTTGGGGAGGAGAACACAAGCAAATTCACAAACAAAAAGGTTTGTTTAACAAATACTCTATTAAGATTGAAAATATCGTTTAGTGAAGGCTTGTCCTAGTTATTCTGATCTTTGCAAATTTCAGGAGACACAGGTAATGGTAGGTGAACAGTGTAAATCAGGTGGGATTTCAGTAAGTGGTTAAATAATTATCTGGAAAAGGGGAACAGACTGGATACCTTAGTTATTTCTTTCCAGAATTTTTATATGTAAGTTCTAATTTTTGTTAGTTTTGTTTTGAGGTGCTAGCTGGATTTTACTAAAATGCTCTGTGAGTAGATAGACTAAATGTCCTCCATAGACAATCCATGATCAGCAATCAGCTTGAGACCCTGTTCCCTCTGGCACACTATGCCAAAATAGTGGTTGACCGTTCAGGCTTTATCCGTGATAATGTAAGAAAAGAAGCAAAGAACTGCTATCCTTCATTAAAATTAATATTTGTGGATGTTAACAGAGGAAAACTACTTGCGTAGCATTAAATAATGGTTTCTAGTCTCAAATTACTCTTCATACATCTTCCTGACAGCACTATAGACACACTGTAGTACTCATTTGAATAATATGCCAGAAGAAGTGATCAGGTTACACCTGTTTATATTATACTACCTAGGAAACAACTGGACTCCATTTGCACAGCTTACAGCAATTTTGTCCTTTCTGGGAAATGAGTCATTAATTGTTAATGGTACTAGAAAACGACTAGTTCAGTTTCAATCATCACTTGTTGTTGCTGTTCAGGTAAGTAAGGTTTTCTTTTTAAGATAAAATATGTTTTTATTCAATAAGAAATGGGGTGGCGGGAAGTTTTGTTTGTATCAGTAATTAGGATAATAGTTTGAAGCAAGTATCGTGCCAGAAGGTGTCAAATATAGATACAATTTTAATTAAGTATAAACCTTGAAAATGACAGTTTTCACATGCACTGTTGATGTGCTTTCTAAGCAACTAATTGTTACAAGGTGGAATGTAGTCATCTGTGACATACGGTCCATCTGCTCTAATTTCATTTTTTCAGTAAGTTCCGAAGGTGAAATCTCTTGCCCTGTGATTGTAATACTCTTGTCCTCTGACAACTCTTACAGGAATGACCCCAGCAGTATAGCAACACTTCTCAATACCTGGGATCATTGCTGTGGATATTGTAGAAGTAGCTTTTCTTTGTAAGAGGTGAATGAAAAGTAAAATGGTTAAGGATTTTTCTTTGTGCTTTGGAGAACTCCATTATTTATTGTGCGGATTTATCATTGACACAGCAACTATTTTGGTATTTTATGTAATCCTGGACATTTCAAGTATCATTTTTACTTGATTGCCTAATTTACTAAGATACACAGAAAAGCTGAGGCTGAGAGTCACCGTTCCTCTCATTTCCTTTGATGTGGAAAATAATTAAAGACACCACAAAGAGTTACTGATTGACAGACCATCATAGCTGGTAGCTGCTGGGTTGTTAAATGGTGCTTGTAATTTCTCTAAAGCAAATATAAAATGTTAGTGAGATGGACCATTGCAACTACTAGCTATAAAAAAGAGCTTATAAGAGAGTTAAGTCTCTGATAAAAACTTCAGGTGTCATTTATGGATGACATTCTCCCCTAAATGCACTATTTTGATCTTTCTACACATTTCTGAGGGTGAGTGGCAAAGGCAGGTAGGTTTATTTATTTAAAGAAGAAGTTGTGTCTTATTTAGATCTGAATCAGACTCTTGAGCAATTAGCTTGAGTAACTAGTGACTAGCTTGTACGGTATCATCACCATCATGTTTCAGTGCCTCAATATACATGCTGTATATGGCGTCAGGAGCACATGGATGGGCATTTGGGAGTGGAGGTAGATGATTAGTTTAATTTTCCTAATGAAAGTTTTGAAAAAATTTGGGAAACACTGTATCAATTAATTGATCTTCATACTTCCCCCTGTGAAAGGAAGGTATTGAGGCCTACCCAGAATATGTCAAATGAGCACCAGTTTAATTGTAAGTGTAAAGGAAAGGCAGCATTGTGAGATACAGGAGATAAAAATAAAAACAAAATTTGATTGGATGGCCAACAATAACCCCGCTTTTAGGGAAGTAAGTAACTCAGACAGCAGTATGCAACAAAGTGCTAATTACCCCAAATGGAACAGACGAAAGTTTTTGTAAGGGCAGAACGAGACAACAAAAATCTAACGTCAGCAATTGTCAGGTGAGTGGAGGAGTACCAAAATACCGAAACAGGGTATATAAGGTTGGCTGAAACAGACCAAGAACGGACGGGTTGCGAATCCAAAAAGCTAGGTCTGATTAACCAGGGCTCCCTCCCCGGCGCTGAATCTCGCTGATGCACATAAGCTCCGAAAGGGGAACAAATAAGCTCCGAAAGGGGAACAACACCGGTCGTACGTTGCAACGAAAAATCCAAAGAAAGAAAAAACATAAAGAAAAGAATATCTCCAGAATCTAAGCAATGCTTCTATCTTTCTTAACGTATTATATATTTGTTAACTCCATAAATTATTTAAAAGTAAATCAGGAGGGTATATCTGTAGGAGAAGTTATTATTTCTTGTTTTTTTTTATCTGTACTGTTTTTCTACTTTTTCTTTGTATATTATATTGTCTTAAAAGAATAAAAAATAGTGAATTGATTTAAATGGAAAATTAATTATAAAGTAAATAGAAAAAATAAAAAAATCTTTGTTTGACCCTAAAAAGAAGTATTCCTCTGTCTAAAGGATTTGAAACCACAAAGAACCAAACCCGGTTACCGAAACCCCCTAGGAGGGAAAGAAAAATATGTATTCCACTTTAGAAATGAGGAACTAAGGCACAGAGGGATTAAATGAGTTGACTCCAGTCACTCAGAGACTGTAGCAGAGCAGAGAATTATATCCAGATCTTGCAAGTAGCTGGGTATCATTATTAAATCATTTATCAAGGTAGCTCCTCAAGGCCCAACATGGTCCCATGGTGGTGGCAGAAATTATACATACACAAACTAACAGATCATTCCTGTCCTGAAAAGCTCACACTCTAAATAAACAGGACAGACAAGAGTGGAAAAGGGAAGTATTATTATCCTTATTTTAAAAAGAACTGAGGTTCTGAGAGATTAAGTGATTCCCCCATGGTTATACATGAACCAGAGCAAGGAATAAAATCAAAATCTATTGAGTACCAATCCAGAGCACAACTAAATGACCAGCCTTCTTTCATTTACAGATAAAAGGATGAGTTGTGATCCAAAGAGCTTACACGCTAATGCTACACATGATGTAATGAAAAGTTAACATTAATAAGATAGAACAATAACTTGCTAAGTTCTAGTGGCTTAGCCACTGGCATGGGGTATGACAGGTATATTCCTGCCTCTGCCATTGACCTGCTGTGTGACCTTTGGTAAATCAGATTGCTTCTGATTTCCCTCCTACTTTTTGTCTGTCTCTCTTTTACTGTAAACTTTTCAGAGCAGGGACTCTGCATCTTAGGCTTTGTCTACACTGCCAATTGAATCAACATAATTTTTGTCATTCACGGGTGCTTAAACCCCACATGCACCACGCCAAAATTGTGCTGCGGCAAGTGAAAGTGTGAATGCCGTGTTGACAAAAGCGCTCTCCTGCCGACAAAGCGAAACGGCCTTCTTAGAGGGCGGAAGTATTTTTTGGCACTTTTGTGGACAAAGCAGTGTTTACACGTCCTGACTTTTAGCAACATGGCCATGTCAACTTGGCTGTGTAGCTAAAAGTGCAGTGTAGACAAAGCTGAATTACTCTGTGTTTGTGAAGTGTTTACATCAGATGGGGTCCCTCTTTCAGCTGGCACTGCTAGACAGTGCCACTATATAAATAATAATAGTAAACTAATACACAGTTCAGCGGTGTGGGTTTGCTTGCTAGTGGAATACAAGTAATTATGTATCTTAACTGGTTAGTTTCTTGTAGGTTTCAAAAACGACGAGTATTGAAATGTACATTTTTATTTCAGTTTGACTCATTTTAGGATGGACAAAGGGTTATCTGAACAATGAAAGAATCTAGACACAATAATTTTCCCAGTGTTAAATTATTACACTTGGCATTTCCATGGCTCCTTTCATCCAATTTACAAAGTGACTATTATCACTCCCATTTTACAGATAAACACACCGAGGAGCTAGTGGCTTGATTTTTCAAAGTTGCTGAGCCTCTGCAGCTCCCATTGACTTCCGTGGGATTTGCTTAGCACCTCAGTCCATAAGGGACTTGACCAGGGTGACTCTGAATAGAATCAAGTCTGGCAGCTTGTAACATGCTCTCACCATTAGACTATACTGCCTTCACAATCCAATTGATGTCTCAATGTACTGATCACATTGTGTTTTCCTATGACTTTGTCTGTGACTCTCAGCACTTGCTCCACGCCCTAGTGCATGGGTTCCCAAACTGGGGGGCATGCCCCCTTGGGTGAGTGTGAAGAAATTCCAGGGGGGAGGCGCGAGGCGACTCAGCCTCTCCCCCCCCCCCCGGCCACGTTTGTGGCTCAACAAGTTTCCTGCTATTTTGGGGGGGAGGGGCATGAGGGTTTTTCAAAAATCAAAAAGGGGGGCATGATGCCAAAAAGTTTGGGAACCACTGAGTTGTTTCCATCACTCGCCCTCCTCTGTCATAAAGCCATAAAGAAAGACAATGTCTGGTAGTGAACAAAACTGATGCTTTAAATCAACTATGGTTACACAGAAAACATGTTGCTATTGCACAGCTTGCTAGGCCAATTCCAAGTCTGTACACAAGTTGTGGGCCTCACCTTCACTTTCCTGGCTGACAGCCTGGCCTCTCTGCTCCACCTCTGCATTCCACTGCTTGTACCGTACAGCCACACACACTCCCCACTCCTTCTGTACTCTCCCCTGTTGGTTCCCAGTGTCCTTCTCTCACTCGTACCCCTAGAAAGTCTCCCCCAGTCCCCTTTTCTCCTTGCCCCCCAAACTCCTGATGGATTAGCTCCATTTTCCACTGGCTCTTTTCCCCCTCATATTTGCCTAATGCCCCATACTTTTCTATTGCTAGCATAATTAGCAAAACTGGTCAAAATTCTGATGAAATTATGAACCAAGTAATATGCTATTAATTGGATGCATTATTCAGTCCATATTATTCAAGCTGCTATAGACATTGAATGATACAATTATTTAATGTATAATTCAGTCATCTGTATTATTCACATACAGGTTGAACCTTCCCACGTCCGGCAACTCTTCTGGTCCAACATCCATGTGCTCCGAGGCAGGAGCACAGAAAGAGAAAAGCTGAGTGCCCTGCGCTCACCAGCTCTTCCTCTTCCCGCATCTGAGCTTCCAGAGAGCCTTGAGTAGCTGATTTGTGGTAGGAGGACGACAAGTGGGGACAGAGCAGGGACGCAGGGGAAGAGGTGGGGACCAGTAGCGCAGCCTCTTCCCCCAAGTGCTCCCCTGACCTTGCTCTGTCATGTTGCCCCCTTTGCTATCACTGGAGCACGGTCCCGCAGCCAGTAGCAGCGGAGGACTGGCATTGACCTCCCCCTGGTCCAGCAAATTCCCTGATTTGGGATCTGTGAGGTGCTGAGGGTGCCAGACCAGGAAAGTTCAACAACATTTTTCAATAACTGTTTCAACCAGCTTAGCAATTAATGGCACAGCTTCCCACACAATCATATTGTTCAGTCTCAATGACTTTGAAAAAGCAACTCCTTTTTCCCTTTCAGCCCCCTGCCCTCTGCTGATTTGAACACTCTCTAACAACTGCTTTTTAATTTCTGATAGAGACAGTATCTCTCCATCATCCCTTCCATGCGAAGGCACCATCTTTGGCCTGCTTCTTGTTCACTCTTCCTGACACCTTTTGTCACATCTCATTGCTAGCTTCAGTATTGAACATTACCTCAATACAGATACTAGTCTTACATGACCCTGAACTTACTGCTTGCTTGCTTGCTTGCTTCCTTCCTCTCTCCTTCCCTCCCTCTCTCTCCCTTTAAAGAGTGAAATCTTCCTTCCAGGTATACAGCCATCTTTGTCCCACAACTTAAACGTTTATATCCAGTGTTAAGTGGAATGAAAGTCACCTCTAAGTTGCTGAGCCATTTCTCACACGTCTTCTGGAGCATTGCCCAAACTCTCCCTCCCTTTTGCCATAATCACAACCCAATTCGGCTATTTCAATTCCTCTTTTATAATCTTTCTGAATCTGTAAATTGGTCTGGATTTCAGACTCCTGACATAATGACTTTATCTTCTCAAATCATGGGCCCTTCTGTTCACTATGCTTGATGTCCATCTCCCTATGCTAGGTGTCACTCTCAGACATGAACTGCTTCATGAGGAAATCTTCTGTCTCCCTCTCATCCCTGAATCACTGCTTTCTTAAAAACCTACTTTATTCTTTAACTGATGACTGACTCTTTCCGCAAAATCTGAGCTTTTGAATAATAATGCATCGTGTACAGGATCAACGTGAGCATCAGCTAAACGCTTACGTGCCCTATAGCAACAGTCACACATAAAACAAACATTTTTTCCTTTTAAGGACATGTTTCCACCTCCTATGGATAGAAATGTTGCCAGTGACCATGAGGAATGCCACAAAACAAGCTCTGTTACTCTATAGACTTGCTCATCTGAAGCTTGTCCTATGGATACTCAGTCAGTGTCACAGGGAAAACTACTGATGTACAAACACTGACATTTTGTTGCCTAGAGCTGGGTGTTTGGGAAGTAATGGCTCCAGAAGTTATAGCTGTGTGTCCCACAATGAACATAAACATTGCATTTCAGCCAAAGGAGCATTTAATCATGTAACTATTAACTAAACCCTGTTCTGGATCTATTCTATATCAGTGCTACAAGATTTAAACTCGTCTTCCTTTTTGCTCTCTCAGTAGACTGGGGCTTACATACTGCCTAAGGGCTGTCGGAGAGTTCCCTCCGCATTCTCCCTGGACAAGTCTTTTCTTTGTGCTTTTCTTTAGCTTGCTTTCAAGGTAGGATGGGTGGGGAGAGATGTGCGGAACATTTGTTTCTAGTCCCAGTTAGTGTGTAGGCACTCCTGGGGCATAGCCACTCATGGCCCTGGGTGGGCTGTGGCCAACCTACTCTGCATCCAGGCCCATGCCAGGGAGCAGGGCTACAGTGCTGGAACTTTACGGTGCTCCAGCTGGGGAGTGGGGTCAGGGCACCAGGGTTTAACTCCCATGCTCTCCATTGCCTACCCACCCAAAGTCAGAGCCCACTCAGGTGGGCTCTCCTGGCTAGGCCACTGGGACACTCCCTGGTATAGAAACACTGGCAGAGATTTTCAAAAGCAAGTGTCTGAAGACAGGCTCTTAAATTCAAAGTAGCCTGGTTTTCAAAAGTGCTGATCCCCCAAGCCACTTCCACCCCAACAAAGAGCTGTTCCTATACATTAAAGTTCTCACTCTGCCTTTGCAGGTTTCCATAAGTAAAAAAATTACTTGGTAAGAAAGATGACATGACAGCAGTTAATACAAAACCTGGGTTTCTAAGACTGAAAGTAAATTACCCAATGTTAGAAAAGGGAAACCTAATGGCCCATCCCTAATCTTGACCATATTTTATTCATTCTTTGGCAAGCTCACATCCCTTGTCAAACATTATTATATTAATGGGAAGCAGGAATCTTAGTTCAGGCTCTCGGCTCCCACATGGGGGAAGTGACAGTGAACACTGATGCACTCTGCTATTTATTCTTCCATAGTCCAAACTGAGGGGCAGTGTAGGTACGCCCTAAAGCTTTGCAGCTTTTGCTGAACACACTCTATTTAGTCCTCCCAGAGCCACGATGAATCTAAGCAACTAAGGCTCTGGATTGGAATTGAGCAAACAGTCCTTTTGAAGATGTAGGGGACACAGTAGATTCCAGCTCACTCTCCCATAGTTGTACTGACTGTGCAGCTAATGAGTAAAAAGGAGGAGGAAAATGAAAGGGACAGAGAAAGTGTAGAGGACTGGAAATGCTGCAAGCCCCCTCCCAGTGTTTTGGGCACTAACATCAGTTGGAGGCCTGGTCTCACCAGATAGAGGCCCTTGTTGTCTGTTCTTTGGACTGTGAAAAGGCATCCCAAAGCAGTACAATTACATTCTGTGAATGCCAAAATGGTGGGCACTAAACTGATGAAAATCTTTGCTTGGATTGGGGTACCGCAGGAGATCTTAACAGATCAGAGAATGAGCTTTATATCCTAGATGATCAAGCAACTCTGTCACCTGCTGAAAATCAAGGCTCTCTGTTCCCCTCCCTCAAACAGATGGCCTGGTGGAAAGATTAAACAGATACTAAAAAAGATGCCCTGAAAGTCTGTCCTTATGGCTGTCAGAAACTGGGACCAGTTACTCCCTACTCTCCTGTTTGCTGATATTTCACCTCGCTGAGCTGCTCAGTTGGCTAGGGGAAGAAGAGTACATGGCCACTCTGGATCTGACAAAGAAGCATAAGCAGATACTCTCACACCAGAATCCAGTAGAAAGGCAGCTTCTCTCACTCCCTTTGGACTCTTTCCATTCCGGATAATGCCCTTCAGTTTGCATGGGGCCCTGGCCACATTCCAGTAGCTAAGGGTCCCAGATCCTCCAGCTCCATAGCCAATACATTGCTGTGTACCTAGATGACAATGAAGTCTACATTTGAACCTGGCAGGACAACCTAAAACACGTGGTGACTGTGTTACAATCCCTCCAGGAGGCCGGCTGACAACAAGTCCCACTAAATGTCATGGAGGCAAAGATGAAACAATGTACTTTGGGCACATTTTGGGAAACGGTGCAGGATGACTCTAAGTCAATAAGATCCAGGCCCTCAAGATGTGCCCCCACACCTTCCTCAAAGAAACAGATTTTTCAGTTTTTCAGACCTGTACTACCACCAATTTATTCCAGGTTTCTCAACCATTCCACATCTCTCTCTGATTTTCTTAAGAAAATCCAATGGACCAAAGCTTGTGAGAAGGCTATTAAAGTCCTGACAGCCTAATTCTGCAGAGAACCCATTTTGTACAGCCTTGAATATACCAAGTATTCAGATGCCATCCACAATGATTTTAAGATCTCCTTCTTCAGTGGTAACAGTTTAGACTCCATCATTTTATATGTATTGTTGGGATCAAGTAGCAGGAACATACATTAAACACAAACTAGAAAAGATTAACATTAGCATTACATCTACCATTTTCAAATAAAGAAGCGTGGGGCTTGGAATACCTCATGTTGACGATTTTATAAGTTCCACTGTTTGACAACAACTTTGGCCTACTAGACAATTTATGTGGGCTTTGATTAAAGGGCTCACAAAGGCTGCATTATATAGCTGTGCTGTTGACAGATGCACTAGGTGACACTCCATCTGCTGACAACCAATCCTTGTTTTACACTGCACAAGTTCATTTTAATCATTCACAAACATGAACCTTTCCGGAGGATTTCAGACATGTTTCCTTGACTATAAATGTGCTTAGCTCAGAATAGTGAAGAACAATGAAATAAATTCCATTCCATTTTAGCTTAAGTGGAACGGTGAGGAAGAGACAAAAATGAAATCAAAACAAAAATAACCCACATATTTATAAATAAGATTCTCCATTCATTTACATTGCAGAGAGATTGCAATCTTCTTCCTAGCTTTATCATTATGCTTCAAATTGTGGAGCCAAATGCATCTATTACCTGGAAAGTTCTTGGCTTATGCTTTTCTCATATTTAATAGTCACCATCACAATGCCTGCAATTGCTAGTATTCAAGACACTCCTGAGATATTACTTTTCCTTATATTAAGATATTGTTCTATTTATTGTTCTACAACGGAGACGTTACCAAAATTATTGCTGTTTAATGATAACCATTGCAACTGCTTCTCCACCTAAAGACAGTATCTCTGAAGCTACAGGAGAAGGGTGATTACACAGTATATAATGATAGCACAGATTCACCTGCGCAGCCTGGGTTGAAGATGCAATTATGGAAATCGTACTCCTTATTTATATCATAGGGTGAGCACCTGGTAGCTTTATCCTTGATTCCTAGGAACAGCCTCACTCCTGATATAGCCTTAAACTATTATATGAATTCGCTTAATTTTAATCCTGCTTTGTACCTATAGCATGTTTGGAGCAAGGCTGATCCTCAGTGTCTGATACAGAGCCCAACATGGTTTGGTCCTGCCTACTCTTGCTATTAAACTGTTCTCAGTATTAGCAACCATTGGAGGTACTGAATATCAGCTCTAAACTCTGCCATGGGGATCTTGGAGCAGCACCCTGTCCTTAATTATTGTAGGCTGGTTTAGATACTAGTTATATCAATATGCTTCAGCATGGATTTATTTTTTGTGTATGTATTCCTTTTCCAGAGGAAGGGAAATCTCTAACCATATGTTTGTTTATTACAGAGTTTTGTCCTTCTTTGAATAAAAGACATGAGCTGGGTATTCCTTAGAGACCTCCTAAGTGGAGTGAATAAATATTCTACCAGCATTGGCAGGATCTGGCTGGCCATTGTGTTTATATTCCGCTTGTTGGTCTATGTGGTGGTAGCAGAACATGTCTGGAAGGACGAACAGAAGGAATTTGAGTGCAACATCAGGCAACCGGGTTGTGAAAACGTCTGCTTTGACCACTTCTTCCCTATATCCCATATTAGACTTTGGGCCTTGCAACTAATCATGGTCTCCACCCCTTCTCTTTTGGTTGCTCTCCATGTTGCCTATCGAGAGAACAGGGAAAAGCGACACAAACAGAAAATCTACAAGAACCCAGGAAGCATGGACGGTGGATTGCTGTGCACTTATCTCATCAGCCTCATTTGCAAAACAGGCTTTGAAATTGGTTTCCTGGTTTTGTTTTACAAGTTATATGGTGGATTCAATGTGCCACGCCTTGTGAAATGTGACATGAAGCCTTGTCCTAACACGGTAGATTGCTACATCTCCAAGCCCACAGAGAAGAAAGTCTTCCTCTATTTTGCATTGGTCACTTCATGCTTATGTGTGGTTTTAAATGTGAGTGAACTGAGCTATCTGATTTTTAAATACACCATAAAATGTTTCCTCAAGAGATATGACAAGGAAGTTCCAACCTTGAAAAGAGAGTGCCAGAGGCTAAATTGTGTCCACCACAATGAAACAGCAGCTACAGCTTTGTTCCACAACAATGCTTCACCAGTTCTCATCAATATTCCAGATCAACCCGAAAAAAACTTAGGTACTGACTTGAGAGAAGGATAAAAGTGATTTTGCATGATGTTAAAGAAACTGTTTGAATTGTTGCTTGTACATTAGGTCAAAGAAATCCATATAAGTGGGTAATGAGGAACCTTTTATTTTCATCTAAAATAGTCTGTGTTCTCTTTCTCTCTCAAAAATATTGTCAGATCCCCACTATTGGATTTTTTTTCCCTTTCACATTCACCTGTATTATGTATTCTTCAGGTTTGTTCAGGCTGAATCAAGGAGATGTAAACACATTTCCACTGAGATGTAATACAAATACCAAAGCTTGTGATAAATCCTCTTAAAAGGACAGTTGCTCAAATAGTTGTGTTTTGGATATTTCATTTGTCTGCTTGGGTTCACAGTTGTATGTTTTTGAGGATCTTTTTGAAGGATTTTGTTGAAGTGGATCTTTGTCGGGCTGCCAGATGATGGCTGCTTACTGGTCTTTGTGGGTGATGGGCTGAGCCTGGGTTTGTTTATATATTAACATTCGTATATTTTAAAACAATTAAGCACACCTGCTGGCAGACTGATCCCAAGGACTGACCTAGCTGTTTACTTTAGCTATTTATCGAGCATTTATTGCTACAGTATTTGACCACCTCACAATCTTTAATGTATTTATATTCAACCCCACTGTGTGTGTGGTACTATTATCCTTTTTATAGACAGTGGAAACAGATGTAGGGATACTAAATGGCTTGCCCAAGCTCATATAGCAGGGACTTGATCCCAGGTTTCCCATGTCGCAGACCACCTCCATAACTACCGAAATGTCCTCCCTCTCTATGGCTATGGAGATTTATAACCTTATCCATCCAAGTTCCATTTCTCAGGTTTGGTTGAAGTACACTGATAGGGAAATTAGAAGGTTTTGGTCTCCAGAACTATCTGAAGTCTGTTCCTTTTTGCTAACAGTAAATTCAGTCCCTTTAAGAACCTGATCCTTGTTTGAAATTCTTAGACTCCAGTGGAAGTTCTGAAGCCTTGGAGAGCTCAGAGGATTAGGCCTCAATTTTTTAAAAGGTATTTTAGATTCAAGTGGAAACAAAATCAGAATGTTCACAAATGAAAACTCTATGGTCCTTTTCAAAATGTCAGAATGCGCTTCAAAAACAATTGTAATTATGTTCTTTTAAAATTAACATTATATAGTTAAACTGGGGAAGGGAGGAGATGATTATTTATCCCAAGAAGCCTGTAACAGGTAGACAGCAAGAGAAATGAGGACAGGAAGAAATTCATTCTCTATTGCACTCAATGAAAAAAGATGAGGATCCATCTTTCCAACTTAAATTTCTATGATAAGCATTTATGGTTGTGTCTGGGTTCAACTGTTCCAATTTCTTACTTATTTCAATGTTAATTGAATTCCAGAGACTTAATACAGTACAGAGACACCTTACTCAGGAAGATTTACTAAGCCATTTTTGCTATTACAGATTAATATTGCTTAGAGTAATTTAAATTTTAGAAGGTAGATATGTTTTAAGAAGTGCATACCTGTATCCATCCACCCATCCAATTTGCTAGGGATTAGAGCTGGTTGAAGTTATTTGAAATATTTTCCATTGAAAAATATGCTTGTGCTGAAATTGAAGTTTTCCATGGGAAAATGTGGATTTTGACAAGTTTCAATTTTCCACCTCAAATGTTCATAACAGAAATATTTGTTTTGAATTGGCTTTTGAAATAAACATATTAATTTCAACTTAAAATGCTTGTTTTTTCATTTAGAGATCTGCCAAGTTTTCCCATGTTAAGGCACATACGTTAGGAAAAAAAGCTTTGGGTGATATGTAAAAGAGAATATATCATGGAGCTTGCTGGTGTCATCACAAAATAACACACATTATGGTTTATGTTTCTCTGATAATCTCTGGGGAAAAGAGAGTAAATAGTACCTGATAAGTTAAATAGCCTTGCCTTCAGAAAAATAGATAGTTTAAGGAGCAGCTAATTAAAGCCTTACTGAAGCTTATTGGTATAAAAGCAAATGTTATTTCATGGTAGCACTAGCTTTGCTAAAAATCAATATACATAATAAACTAAGCCTACTATGATGCTTTTTTAGCCTATGTGCACATTCCCATTGTGTGTTGCTGAAAGGAAGCCTCTTCCTAAGAAACATATGAATATATTGCCTTTGCTTTTCTATTTACAAGGGCAGCAGAATCAAACTGAATTTTAGATGTCAGCCTGCCAGCTAGTGGCCAGTTTAGGATTTGCATCCTCCACAAAACTACCATGAAGCAAAATGCAGGACAATGTAGCACTTTAAAGACTAACAAGATGGTTTATTAGATGATGAGCTTTCGTGGGCCAGACCCACTTCCTCAGATCAAATAGTGGAAGAAAGTAGTCACAACCATATATACCAAAGGATACAATTAAAAAAAAGAACAAATATGAAAAGGACAAATCACATTGCAGAACAGAAGGAGGAGGCGGGGGGGTGGGAAGGGGGAGGAAGGAAGGTAAGTGTCTGTGAATTGATGATATTAGAGGTAGGGAGAGTGGGATGTTTGTGAGTTAATGGTATTACAGGTGATAATTGGGGAAACTGTCTTGATAATGGGTGAGAAAGTTCAAAGACTTGTTAAGTCCCTGGTGGTAAGTGTCGAATTTTAACATGAATGACAGTTCAGAGGATTCCCTTTCAAGTGCAGATGTAAAAGGTCTTTGTAGCAGAATGCAGGTGGCTAAGTCATTTAGAGAGTGTCCTTTCTGGTTAAAGTGGCAAGAAACTGTTTTCTCTTTGTGATCTTGTCTGATATCTGTTTTGTGGGCATTAATCCTTTGGCGAAGTGTCTGAGATGTTTGTCCAATGTACATAGCAGACGGACACTTTCGGCACATGATAGCGTAGATTATATTTCTGGATGCGCAGGAATATGTGTTCTTGATCTTATAACTCACTTGGTTAGGTCCAATAATGGTATCAGCAGAATGAATATGTGGACAAAGCTGGCAACGGGGTTTGTTGCAAGGGAAGGTACCAGGGTTGGTATTAGTGTGGTATGTCCTGTGGTGGTTGGTAAGAATCATCTTGAGGTTAGGTGGTTGTCTATAGGAGACTATGGGTCTGTCTCCCAGAGCCTCTTTGAGTATGGTATCCTGTTCCAATATAGGCTGTAGTTTATTGATAATGTGTTGGACAGGTTTAAGTTGGGGGTTGTAGGTGATGACAAGTGGTGTTCTATTGTTGGTTTTCTTGGGTCTGTCTTGAAGTAGATGGTTTCTAGGTATTCGTCTGGCTCTTTCAATTTGCTTTTTTGTTTCTCTGGGTGGGTAGTTGAGATTTATAAATGCTTGGTAGAGATCCTGAAGCTTCTGGTCTCTGTCAGTGGGGTTAGAGCAGATGCGGTTGTATCGAAGGGCTTGGCTATAGACGATGGATCGTGTGGTGTGTTCTGGATGGCCATGGTATGCGTGTGTGGTGACTGACTTTTGTGCCCTGCGGCCCGGAATTGCTTTCACTTTGACATCTCTGGGTTTGTCTCCTCTTCCACTCCAACCTCCACAGCTCCAGACTTCTCCCCAACACTGATGGATTGTCTATGGCCTGTAAGCAAAAAAGGGACTTCTGGTCCCAGGTTTGGAACAGGTTTAATAATGCATGAGCGCAGCATGGCCATCAGCTCCACTTTCTTCAGAACAGCAGCAGCAGACAGACCTCAGCGTGCACACAGGCTCAGGGGCTGTTTGTCATTCATACTTGCTAACTAGAGTCTACCTAGACAAACCAAGAGACCTGCACAACCAATTTCCAGTTTAAGAGCAGAAGTTTTAAAAATCTTCTAAGGCCACAATTCAAATAAAAATGCTGGCACGGTCCTATCACCAATCCTAGTGAGCTTCCCTTCCTGGCCATCCTCTAAGAAGGGGACCTACCTGCTTTGAACGCTGCCCTACCCCTCTGACTTTCCAGAACAACACCCGTGTGTGAAAATTTTGGTTTAGTTTAAGTCTGTAGTTGTGAAGCAGTACCCACTCACCCACCCACTTTGTTCAATCTATCAGTTTGAAGTTCTTTATACTTCACTAAGTAATGCACACAGATCATGCAAAGTACTACAACACCCTAAACACAATTGTCCCTCACTAGCGTTCTCTTGGGAAACCAACTGTGCTCCACGCAGGATCTTTCACCCCATTGCTTACCCTGCCTCAGCATAGCCTCCCTTATCTGACTGGTACAAAACAGCTTTTGCCTCCAGTTCATTTCTCCGAGTCCCTTTCCTGCTGGATTCCCTTGCTTCTTTTGTTCTGCCTTTTGGTAATTTTCCACCCCACCCCCCAATGTTTCCCCCCTGCTTGCTTCAGACAACACAAGGCAGTGTCTGCTCCCAGGTAATTCAAACCTACTAGCCCAATGTGCTTTAGTTTGAACAATTGTTAATTGATGTTCACTCACCATTCTGGGGTTCACAATTAAAAAAAGATGTTGATAAATGGGAGAGAGTTCACAGAAGAGTCTGGAGAATGAATTAGAAAAATATACCTTGTACTCTCAGAGGTTCTCAAATGTGTGTGCATGTGCAGAACATACTGTGGGAGAATAAGAAGGTTTTTTTGGGGGAAAAAACCCCTGTGCACTTTACCCCCAGCAATGAGTAACTACCAAAGCTGATTCCTTCAGATATATCAGGTCTCAGGTGTGGCTGTGCGTGACTCTAGATGGGGCTGCACATTTTGACTGATTTGTGTTAAGCTTGCATAGCATTACACTATACCATTGCCATCTATCTATATGTTAATCCATTTGCTATGTTGTGGTGTGTATTTAATTGTATGCATCAACCACAGCCACAGCTTTGCTTTGGCTCTTACTACAAAGGACTATTGGCTCTTTGATTATTTAGTGGGAGTTTCATGTTGATTTTTAAAAAATGGTGTATGTACTTGTGTGGTGGGGGGAATAAACCACTAGACAGAAAAGGGGTGCGAGCAAATAAGGTCACATCCATACTGCCACTTTGCTGCAATGCAACTTTCTTGCTCAAGGGTGTGAAAAAATACCCCAAACACATCAAGGTACAGCACTGTAAAGAGCCAGTGTAAGTGGGCTCCCAGCATTGGGAACTACTCCTCTTGTTTAGGGAGTTTACAGAAAGTACTGGCAGACCTCTCTCCCAGCAATGGTGCCATGGCCACACTTACACTTTAAAGCACTGCTGCAGCAGTATTTTAATATTTTAAGCACAAACTTAGCCTAATTTTGAGAACCACTGCCCAACAGTGATAAGGCTCAAAGAGCACAATCTATTTCGCTCAACAAAGAGAAGATTTAACAATGAGTTGATCATAATCTATAACTAGCAAAAGGGGGGAACAAATACTTAATAATAGGCTCTTCAGTGCTGCAGAGAAAGGTGTAACAAGATCCAAAGGCTGGAAGATGAAGCTCGACAAACTGAGACAAGAAACACGGTGTAAATAGTTAGAGGAATTAACCACTAGAACAATTTAAAGAGGATTGTGATGGATTCTCCATCACTGATCATTTTTAAATTAAGATCAGATTTTTTCTTAAAAAAATATATCCTCTAGGAATTATTTTGGGGAAGTTCTGTAGGAAGTCAGACCAGATGATCACACTGCTGGGTCCTTTCTGGCAGTGGACTCTCTCAATCCCAAGTAAATATCACTTACCACAGAATACAAGGGAATGAATACGCAGAAGTAAGCAAATAAGTGGTGCAGGAGAATGTCATAGAAAACCATTATTCTTTTTTATACAAAATTAAATAATCAGTCCTCATTTATGGGATAGGATTTTATGCACTCTGATTCCATGTTTTCAAGATGTCAACTTGTGTTTTCAAAAAAATAAAAATAAAAACCTTAACATTAGAATCAATCACTCTAAGCATCTATTTACTCTTTTGTTCTGGATTTGGGATCTACTTATTAATCTCAGTGACCTTATATTTTTACCCGCATGCTTTAAAAGTTCAGAGGTCCAGAATTACTATGAAATGCCTTATGTAAAACTGTGGGAGAATTAAAGAGTATTGGATAATAAAGTGCAGACCTGCTTTAAAAATTGCATTTAACAATGAGTTGATCATAATCTATAACTAGCAAAAGGGGGGAATAAATACTTAATAATAGGCTCTTCCGTGCTGCAGAGAAAGGTGTAACAATCTTCCAAAGGCTGGAAGATGAAGCTCGATAAACTGAGACAAGAAACACGGTGTAAATAGTTAACAGAGGAATTAACCACTAGAACAATTTAAAGAGGATTGTGATGGAGAATCCACTATTGTTTCAATTGCCAGCAGTGCAGGAGGAAATTAAAAAAAAAGCCCAACCTGAGTCTTACTACATGGGCTGGCAAACTCAAACATACTTAACTTGTAAACTGAGTACATTTGAAAAAGTTATTGAAAAGGCCATCAGATATGTTCACTTCCATTTCTTTTTGCATACCTGAATAGATCTTCAGAAGATACCATACCTGAATGGCTCTTCTGATAATACACAGAAGAAAAGATTCAGTAGATTCTTAGCACCATTACACCATCACACAGTTATCATAAGTGAGAAACAATACAAAATACTTATTTTTGTCACTAAGGAGAACAGGTATGTCTGAATACACAAAAGGAACATGTCTATTAAATAGTGAATTACTCTTTTTACACTCTTCCTGAATGAAACATACTTTTGCCAAATATCTCTTGTACTTCATATTATTTT